CGAGAACGGTATTTTTTGTGTGAGATGAAAAATAACGCAATATTTAGAAATACAGATATATTCAGTGTTGGGAATAGATAACTAAAATATTATCTAGATAAAGATAATAGATTATTGGTAGGAATTTATCTAGATAAAGATAATAGATAAAAAAAATTAAAGTATCTAGAATCTAGATAAAGATAATAGATAAATGTGATTTATCTAGATAAAAAAAATAGATAAATATTTTTTTGCTGTTTTTTTTCATACTCGGCAATAACTATTCAGTGGCATATCCAGAAATATTTTAATGTGGGGGACCGGGGACGAGCGTCATCGAACTGACCTGGGTCGTCTATAGTTACTTGAGCTAAATCAATTGCTGTTGATACACTTCTGGATTTTTTGGAATCATCCATATATGTTGTAGTTAAAAATCGCTTCATACTTAAATATAGCTAGTCAAAAACCGAAATAAAATAATAGGTATAAACAACTAGAACATTAGAAAATCACAGTTGACGACAATTATTACTGTCCGCGTTGTATACTTGTATAATAAACTGTGACAGTGTTTTGTCGTTCTGAATGTTCTGATAATCAAAACTCTGAAGTAGGTATAATCATATTATTATGTTAACTGTAGTGTATTTGTGTATATTATTATTACAGAACAATAAAATGTATAGATGGATATTATTGGTGGATCATAATATTTATTATATATAATGTATAATATATTTTTATATATATATAATCATATATATTAGATTAGACTCCATTTATAACTGCAGTAGTGCGTGACGCAAGCGGGTCTTGTACGAAACAGACCCGTATGTTTTTACGGGTAATCCCGGGAGTATGGGACATCGCCACGGTCGATCAGAAATAACTAATAAGTAATAAGTAATAACCTGCAGAAACATTAAATTAATAAACGGAAATAACACAACAGCCAACGACCATTAACTATTAGATTCAAGATATATTTTATACTTTGTGACTGCTTTAAATTTGTACTACATACCTATTCTGTTACATTATATTGCTATTTTATTTTGAACAAAAATGTAAAAATGTATACTTGTATACGAAAATATTTAAAAATACCTATGTATAAAAATTATTTAGATAAATTGATATAGATAACTGAAGTTTTCATCTAAGATAAAAAAATAGATGACCAGTAGATTTTAATCTAGATAAGATAATAGATAATGGAATTTTCATCTAGATAATTATCTAGATAAATTTATCTAGATAAGTCCTAACACTGGATATATTATTAGAAGTAATCCCGTTAAACTGTCAGGGTAACAAAATACGTACCACAAACAATAACCGTATAACGTGTTTGATGCTTATTGGCTATTGTATTTATACCTAATTAAAGTACACAAAATCTATAAAAAAAATACGATTTGTGAGGTACAGTACGGTTTGACTGAGACAAATTGACTCTCACTAGTACTATTATTTGGATTTACGTACTATTACTTCATACTTAATTTTGTGTTTATTATTGCCTAAAGGCACATATACATAGATACACATAGATACAGAATATATAAATACGTAATATTGTGTAGTATTATAAATTTGTTTTGCGCTATATTATTGTTTCATTAAAAATGAAGTTCCTTCGGCCCCGAGGAAGATCTTTTAAATTATTCTTTTCGGCTAGCTGCTAAAATCAACTATCTGATACCGTATTTTTTAAATTTTAAGCCAGGTTCTGATATTTATGTGGGCTGTTGGCTTTTAAAAGATTAAAAAAGTGCATAAACAAAATTCGGAGTAAGGCGTAAAACGAAAACCGTAAAAAAGGCTTAATAAAACATTTAAAAAAAAAATCTAAAATGCTAAGTAGAAAATATGAGACAAACAAATACAGCATTATATTTCAATATTATCGGAACAATCGGAGCTTGTAAGTATTCAAACATAATATTTTATTATTCGCTGTGTAGTAATTTATACAATAGATACATAACTTTATACAATATGCAACATACATACATATTTAGTTTTTCTTAAATACAACCATGGTAAAATGTATGGTTTGTACCACTGTACACTGATGTTTTCGTTCGTTCGTTGTATAGAATATTATTTATCGTAATAAAAAAATTGTGTCGTTAGTATTTCAAACGGTTTTCATCGTGTATCGTTATCGGAAGTTTTTGTGAATCACCAACGGTACTGTCATTATCTCTCTCTCTATCTTCAGTGGTGCGTGTAGGTATTATGCGATTGTATGTTTATCACCGTCTAATAATAATACACTTCCCGTGAGCGTGGTTTCGAAAACTCTGTACCTACGCCGCCGACGGGCCTCGCTCGAGGCGTCTAAATAAGGGTGGAGCCTCGCCACCCCCCGCACAACGTTCACCCTTGGACGAAAACATGGCGGTCCAAAAACCGAGTTCATTACCGAAATAATATTTCTAACGCTCGCACACACACACACACACACACACACACACAACGTATCGTAAATCGCGTGCCCCGTATATAGCAGTAACTCGTATATATTTTATTTTTCACGATTTTTTACCCCTATATTAAAACCACGTCTTTGTGTTATAATGTACATATTACTATATAATAACGTGCGTACGGCACGGCGCAGACACGAAAACCCGCGGGGTTGCAGGTTGTGCAGTCGACGAAGAAATAATAATCGCATATATAATATTATACCGGCGAAACGAACCGGAAAATCATTTGAGATTTTAATCGACTTTCCCGCCCCCGGCGTATGGACTGGTGTACCCTAGTACGCGGTGTAGTAGATGATGGGTGTGTGTCGTATACTCGTATTATATACTTCCGAGAGCGTGGAGTCTTGTGGGCACAATATGTGAGGCTTGGAGGGGGTGGTGTGGGGTATACTTCGTTTACGGGCTGTGGTACATGTGTAAAAGTGATTAAGCGACGATGATTAAAAGACTCTCGAAATACGCCCTGAAATGTTTTTTATACGCTTTATTAACCGTTCAAATTTCTCGCGTCGGTTATTTTATGCGAAAAACTTGAATATTTTGGGTTTCACGAAACAAAATAATTTTTTTATATATACCACCGATCTTTTCGTTTTTTCGAAATGTCTACACTCCGTCTATTTTTGGGTTAGCTTATGCCTATATGTTTATGTAGGTACCTGATGAAATTTTGGTGAAAATTATGATATTTCATACTCATAAAATATAACACAGAATAATTCACAAAACATGGTCACCAGTATTTTATCATTTGTTTAAGCATTTGTTTGAATTCTGTTTTTCGGAAATATAATATGCAAATATGCAGATTTTTAAATATTTCAAAAATAGGAAGTACGGTTAATGGATTAAAAATAAAATCGAGATGAATATGCTTAACCAGTTGTCATGTCCAGAGATCTTTACATTTTCTGTTAAATTCGCGATAGAAGGTACAAAGAATATAAGACTTAGTCTTATCTGCACATCATGTAAAACGAGCAATTTTGTTTGGCCGTCCAGTTACAATATTATTGGGCCACGAATAAAATATATCATTTTTAAAAGGTGGTACAGGGAATATTGGGAAACAACCACGTGATTATTATTAATATAAATAAATGAGAGCTAAATTTCAAAATTAAATATCAAATATAAAACTATAATAAACAGGTTATATATGTATAATATAGATTATAGTTACATAATTATTAATTATTACTTATTAGTCAAAACTTTAAAAAAAAAACAATTTTTTAAAAAATAATGTGATAGAAAATTTAGAAAACCAAATCTGTTTTTCTCCATCCGTCGTATTTCTTTATTTTGTTTCTTGGTGACTCGTAGCTAAAATTCTAAACGGTTTAATATTTTTTATTGATTCTTATGGTAAATGAAGCGTGGGTGATTAAGTGACATCAATTATTACAATGGCCAAACTATTTTCGTAATTTTCCACCAATACTGACTACGAAAATGGAGACTGTATAACTACAACTTCACAGTATTAAAAATGATAAAAAATATTGAACATATAAAATGTACTATGGATTCGTAAGATAATTATTGTACAAGTTCCGGAATTTTCAGCATATTATAATATTATAGTGGTTAATATGATAACAATATTTATCGACGGAATAGGAAGTAGAATGATACAAATTATTTTCGAAAATACGATTTTGCGAACCAGAAATAATTAAGATAACAAGATTGAGCACAACTAGCGAGGCGTATTAATCAATTACAATTTTTATTGGCATAAAATATTATATATTTATATTGCGTCAATAAAATATTGCTCACAAAATATTTGTTCAATGGTTAATTGGAAACAGACGACGTTCGTTAAAATTCATAAAACAACACATGATAATTGTGTGTAAATATAATACTACAAAACAGTTTAAATAAAATGTTTAAGAAAAACAACAACTACTGTGTTATTGCAACGTTTATATAAGAAAAAAGTATCATATGTATTTGTCGAATAGACCAAAATATAAATACATAGTTGTTTATACTAAATAATCGGTAACATCTTATAAATTATTTTTTCTTAATTCTCTTAAATACTTTTTAACCGATTTCTATCATTAGTCATGTGGTAAACTACAATACATCAATACATATTTAATATACTGGTAGACTATAAAGTCAATCTATAAGTAGGTATACAGACTACAAAGTGTAAAATAAATAAATGATTAAATATTTAGTTATGTAATTTAATGATATAATAACTTGTGTGGCCGTTCAATACGTAAAATTTTTATTTTATTACATATTATAGTATTATTAATATTTCTGATAAAGTATCATTACGTATAGTATAGACATAGTTAAAATTAATCACGTTTGCCAGTTGTTTGTGTTCACCCTGTATAATATGGCTGTACTAGCTTACATATTAAAAATATTATACAGCATAGATATAAGGATTATTGTGAGCCTTTCACTCTTTTGTTTTCTGTTGTATTATTATACGAATATCGCACAAATAATACAAATACCATAGGTATACGTGTACATACCACACTTGTAGGTATATAATGTACATAAAGAGGCACACCCGGCCGTAATAATTATTACTCAATTTCCTTTATCTGACCCTATACACGCACCACTGTAAAACTACGTTTTTAATTATTATAATATTATTACGAAATTCGTACATATTATACGGGTGCAATGACGAACGACTTTGATTGTGTACAATTATAAGTCAACTACGTACTTACTATACTTACCTTAGGCTGTAACATAATAATATTACCAGCATCCGAAGTGTGTGCCACAAAACTTGAATTTTCAATTTGGAACGAATTGAGTGAGTACAATTTTTTTTATTATCTAAAAGTAAGTAAGTAGAGGTGCTTCGAACAGTTTACACACGTATTTTTCATGCTCGTAATCATAAAAACTGTCCGAAATAACGAGTGCGTTAATTAACAAAAAAATAAAAATAAAAAAACACCCCAACAGACAATGCTGTTCGTGGACGAACCGGTTTGACCTGAGGGTTGGATGGAAACGTGTACAATGTACCTATACCTATTATTATACATTATATATTTATATGCGTCCTCTGCTCTGATAGTTATATTTTACCCTCAATACTAAGTCTAGTTTCGCACACTCATGTCGGAGTCCGACGCGGTCATTCTGACGATGTTCATCTGACAGAAGAATTCGTGTATATCCTGTAAATAAATAAATAAATATGATAGTTAGTTAATAATAATATCATATGTTTAATAACGTAAGACTACCAGAGTGACAAATTAATCATTTGTATTTAATATTTATATTATGTGCATTAAATATATATTACTATAATATGTGTGTGTGTTATTCAGAAAGCGCTTAAACGTGTGGCGGGATTGAAGAGCAGACCTTAAATATTTTACCATTGGGCTTGTAATTGAAAGCATGTTATATCAATTTGGACAAAATAACAGGTAAATAAAAAGGTAGATAGTTAAAAAGTCAAATGCAAACTCCGCCTGCAGTGTTTAAAATATACCTACGAGGCTATGTACTATATCTGTACATTTAAACTGCTATGCCAGTATGATAGCCTAAGTTCTTGTTTCGTCTTAAACTAAATAGTTTATGAATAAAAGAAATGATAATACCAATAAAATTATAAATAACAATAATGTACATTAATAGACTTTTTCAGGATTTGAATCTCTCATAACTTTAGTTCACTGCAGTTTAAAAAAACCTGAAACATTTTAAACTATATACTTGGATACAAACTTTCAAAGTACCAAAAAAAAAAACAATAAATATTTTCTTATTGGAGTTTCAATAATAACGACCATTAATGCCAACTCGAATGGGTAATGTAAGTTGTTTTTTAATCCAACATTTGACTTTTATTAATATTGATGGGTTGGAAACAATTTCAATTGAATAATATTTGTCTGTATTGCTTTATTTTCTCAGTTTTAACTCCAATCGCCAAATTACAGTTAATTGTTATTTAAAGAACATATAGGTACATTAAGTCAATTATATTGTTTAAATTAAAATGCATAATAGGTATCTTAGTTTCTATCGAAAATAGAAATTGAAACATTTGAATCGATACTTTTTGTATGACTAACATCGTCTATAAATGTTATAGAATTATGATAAATTAAAACAAAAAACTCACGGTTTCGAAGACTTAAAAGTTTATTTGGCTGGAACCCGACTGAGCACGATAGACCTTTTTCACAACCCGATTGAGCATGGTTGGAATCAAACAATAGGAACCCAAAAAAACCCCAAAAACCACACGATTGAGCACGAAAATAGGTGCGACATTGTCATTGTGTATCATAGAATATTATTTTTAAAAAATAAGATACATTTGAATGTAAATGTTTAAAAATAAAAATCTTTTATTGGATTTTAATCACATATTATTACATATGTACGTCAGTTAGTTTATTATATTTAATTACAATTACAATTTATTCCGCTAAAGGCTGAATATAAAAAAATATAAAATTTAAAAATTAAATAAAAAAATGTTGAAAAATGTTGAAAAATACCAATAAAATAAATTTAAAAACAAAAATTTAAATTTTTTCCCCTAAATACTTATTTCCAATTTTAAATAAGTATTTAAGTAGGTTATCAACATGTTTTAATTCAGAGTACTCCTGATAAGACTTTATAGTGAAGTTTATTTTTTGGTTTTCGATAACACTAATTTTTTTATGATTATTACTTGCTATGGATTAAATTTTCGTGATCGTTTCAGTCTGAGTTTCTTGTAGCACTATAATAATCAAGTGTATATGTGGATGTGCCTTGTAAAATTGGGAATTGTATGTCCTGTGGAAACTTTCAGCTGCATACCATACATACGTAAGTGCTAGTGAAAATCTGACAACGTTGTACACAATATTTTTTTTTTATCGTTTTTTAAGTTTTTAAGCACATACATTTACGTAAAATTAGTTTTTCGACATCATATCTATAATATTATAAACCTATGATTACTCGCTAAGTACTATAGCTGCAGAATTGAAAATATTTGACAGAGTTTTTCTTGATATTTCAGATCAAAACAAATATAAATATAAAATATATAACATTAAAATATATGCAATTTTTTTTTCAACCAAGTAAATCTCTAGACATACACTCACTCTGCGCAAGGGCATTTTCGAAACGTGTTGCGATTGGCGGAATATTAACGTTGGGGAGATTGAAGTATTTTCGAATTATTTGTTCCCTTTTCCACCCTTGTCTTTTAATTTCAGACGATAGAATGTAACTGGGCGTAAGAGAAAAAAGTTTAATGAACACACAAAAAGGGGAAAAAGAATAAATAAAAAAGAACCCCCCGCGAGTTTCCGGGTCTGCATTATCATTATTATTGAAAGCTGGCAAAAAGTTTACACTTTTCCCCCTTCTTTTTCTTTTTTAATAATCTTATAAAACCCTCGAAGGGTGATTTTATGCTACATAATTATTATTTATCGAAGGAGATGTTGGTTGGATTTCCTTCTCTCTTTTTTCTCTTTTATCCACGCTCGTGTGAGACCCTTTATTTTTTGAACAAGCTAAATATTTAATTTACATTTTTTTTTTTTTTTAATTATCGTCAAAGAAATTGTTGATTTTAATGAGTTCACTATAGGTACTCAAAGGAAAAATATTTTTTTAAGCATTCTATTAATATACATATATATTGTTCAAACGAGTCTTAGAAAAATACGTGGTTACTTTTAAACTTAAATTTATTCGTGTTCAAGCAAATATTTAATAACGAGTACATTTTATGGTAACTCAAGTTAGGTAAAAAAAAATACAATTATTTTTACCATAAATTATTATGGCTTGTATAAAACTATGAATATAAATAAAATATAATTTACTTTTTAAATGGTGCAACTGACATGGTTGAATTTCGAAAAAAACTTCAATGGTCTAATACTCTAGTCTCTAGTAGGTATCTATATAAAATATGTATATAATATTATTGTCAAATGTATTATTTTACAATTTTTAACAATTATTTGGATTTATTGTGTTTAACTTAACAAGAGTATTAAGACAATTTTAATATTTTACTATGTGTGCTGGATAATATTAATATACCCAAAATACGTGGTAGTTATAATAATGACATTAATATAGCTAAGCTTGTGAATTATGAGTTCCATGTAATTGGAGTTGTTAAGAATATATTTTACATATTAATTTGTAATTGGTATAATTTTAAAGTTTCTTGTCACTACAAAGTATGAACATAATATAATATTATACAGCATAAAATATTTAAGTCACAAGTTATAGAATATTTTATTAAACAACCTAAATTAAAATATCAGTTGTAACTTTATAATATTAATTATTATAGTGTACCTACTAGTGAAGCTTGAGGTTATTATGAAATAAGTTAACATAATATAGGTAATTGCTTTTACCGAAGTTTTTACATTATTGCTAACAGTAACTAACCTTAAAGGTATAAATATATTTTTGGTAAGAGCAGATTTATTTCTGATTTAGTATAATACGCAATATTTACCTTTAATTAATGTTAATCCAGGTTTTAATTCATGTATTGAAATTAAGCACGTTAATCGTTAATACAAGAAAAGATAATACAGTGGAACTTCCATATAATGAACTTCCATTCAACAAAATTTTCTATTTAACTAATTATTTTTGAGAACCATGACCTTCATTGTTAAATACACGTCAATTTATCTCCAAATAACGAATCTGATATTTCTATATAACAAATAATTATTCGATAAAAACTGGTTTTTGTAAATGTTGTCACTATCAAATTTTAAACATAGTTCTAAAATTGTACATGAACAATGAATCCGATAAAGATAAGACACCGAAGGTAGGCAAACTGATTAATTTTATTGCAGTATTTTAAAACTTAATGATATAGAAACTTTTTACGAAAAAAGTACAATTTATAAAAATAATAAGGAAACAAAACTCACTAATTATTTCTTTTGAATTATAAAATTAAAAACTAAATTAAAGTGTAATATAATATTTGATGTTGTTTTTTACATAACATATACAACATAGAAGTATATACATATATACAATACAATTTTTAAAAAAAATTGAAAAAAATACGTAATTCTATTTAACGAATTCCTCCATATTACGATTTTTTTTTGCTGCTTATTCGACTTCGTTATGTGGAAGTTTCGCTGAATAACTATACCAATATTCAAATATAATATAATATAACTGTGTGGTTATATTATAATGACTATCGATTCTACTGAGCTTTTAATTTATTTAAATGGTAGTCGCTATGTTGAACCTATTAATGTATACCTAATATAATATACTAAATGTAGTATAATTAAAATGTATGTAGTCGTATAGCTAAAAACGTTTGTTAAACTTTGCCAGCAAATACTAAACATTGATATACATAATACATTTTATTAAATTTAAAACTCAGTGGAATCAATAGGTACTTAGTATGAAGTATAAATAGTATCTGGTGGTAATATATATATATATATATAGACTAAAAGATAAAAAATAAAATTTATGACTGGTTAAAATTAATTGATATAAATGTTAATTCACTTCAAAATTTATGGTTGCTTTCTAAATTTTTTTAAATTCAAATTACTAAGTAGAATTGAAAGATATATTTTGAGAACAGTAGTCAGTGAAGTCGATACAAAATATGTGAAATCAATAAACGCCTTTGCGTTTGACCCAACACCTACCTATCAAAGTATTCAATGCTATGACATTCATGCTTACATTACCTTTTTTTTTTTTTTTTTTTTTTTTCCTTCTGAAACCGGGAACGGGTGGGAACTGTTTAGCACAATACTGCCACCCGAGGTTACATTACCTAGAAGCAGCAGAGTAATATTTACATTACAAAATTACAAAAAGTAAGCATTTACGTATGTTTAAGTATTTACATAAATACAAATTAATCGTTGACCCATAAAAATAATATATATATAAATGTATATTATAAACTATACATTATACCAATATTAATTAATTAATAGTATTTTATAATTAATTTAATAGTATTAATTGACACCTTTGAAACATTGAACGACCCGGTGAATTTCCTCTTCTAACTACACCAACGTTAATAAACGTACAACTTACGGCCCTATACACATAGGTATATAATGCACATTTGAACACTATAAACTATAGAGTACTAGGTACGCGATAAAACGTTGACAGTTATATTATTTCAAACGAATCGTACAATGATGCACACTCATTTTACTGTAAAATCCCCCCGGACGAGATTTCGAAACAAAGGGATAAATTAATTTTTTTCTCCCGAATAATTGTTCTCCTTTAAAAACAATACTACTGTTATTGTTTCCGTTTGGAAGAAGAAAAAAACACGTTTTACATAGCTGTTTCAGTTATTATAACAATCTATTTTTTTTTTCATATCACGTCACCCCGCCGTTTGTGACCGCCGTAGATAGGTAGGTACCTATGTATAATATATATGCACGTGTAACATTATAATATAACAACCTGGACTCGCGGATATACGCGATGAGATTGTCACACGAGTTTTTTTCTACCTACGGTATTGTTTCAAAGGGGAACACCCCAGAACACCACGGCTGGACACAAAATATATACTATTGTAGGTATAGGAGCTCACGGTGTATACATTTTTAAATTTATTTATATGCGACGCACAATGTTGTATGATATTGAATTATTGTAATATAATTCTCACTGTTCTGACAACGCACATATGAGACTAAGATATAGGGCAGCAAAAGTTAATTTTTTGTTATTTTTTAGTTTATTATATTATTATAGGTCGTTATACATTATAAAAGTATAATTTTATTCAATCTAATGTTCGTTTACAATGTTTACATTTAAAGCCAAATAAAAACTGGAATAGTGTTGTAGTAATGAACTAATGAATGACATATGTAATAACGTATTAAAAAATTTAATAGAAAGCTATTGTAAATAATAAACATTATATCCAAATGAACTATCAAGTAGACTAATCTTCGAGTCCCGGTGTTCTCATTACAAAACTGTAAGTACACTAATTCAACACAATTTTATAATAATATTATGTCGTCAATCGTCACAGATATTAAAGAATGATGAAGCTAATGCAGATATTAGTACAATTAGCTGTTATCTAAATAGGTTTACAATTATGATTGACAGTTGTTCGAAGTGCGATTGTAATACAGTTTGTAGTACAACACTTGTATAGTGATACACGTTCATCAGTTAAAAAAATTAGTTACAAATTATTGAAAAAGCTTGTCAAATATTGTGATTTGCAGCTCGTTTTTTGGTAGTATTTTGATGATTTGCCTCAAAGGAAAATTGTTTAACTGTCTATAATTGTAATTTGTAACATAACCCAAATATTAAATTTGAAAAATATATTGATTCATAAGCTATGAGTAATTAGTGAAAAAGTGATTAGAAAAAGAATGAAAAATCATGCGTTCGTAACAATAGTTACAATTCGTTATAATTGTTTCAAAGTATTGAGTTTTAATTATTTGTAAAAGAAAATAATTATTTTTACTATTACAAATTCTCTTATTTTCGTTGATATAAAACGATTTATAGCCGTTCACTCATGATTCCTGCACCATAGCACTCATACTCTAACCACCAACGATATTATGTATACATTATTTTAACTTTATCTAATTGTTCAAAATCAGTAAACGATTAGATATTGCTGACAGTAACATAGATATTTAATTTTCTAGTTAAAGGTGATGATGTTTAATGTATGAAGACAGTGTGTTGTGTGTAACTCTCCAAATGTCTTGGACGTAGATCAAAATAAATATCATCAAGACACTAACTGTAAAATAAAACGATAAACAAAAACACTATGTAATTTATTTGTTATCTATACTCAAAAGACAAAACTAGAACGGAAGTCACAGTCATATCTGTGCGGTGTTTCCCATATCCTGTATAGCAGATATAATAATCGATTTGTAATATTGGTCATAGAAATTATTCATCTTTGTATAATATATCAATAAAATTACAACATTGCAGTATGTTTTATTTTATACAGAGAGATTCACCAAGCAAACACAACCAATTTTTATCTTGCACTGCTTGCGCATTTATACAAATTCTGATTTGTGATTTTAAGATTTTTTACTATTCAAAAACTATCCTGTATGATACAAACTTCTTTTCCAAAGAAAACTACCCTGTTTTCTTGAAAACTGCTAATCACATGTTAAAATGATAGTAAAAATAATCAAATATTAAAATGTTAACGCATCTAATTCATCGAAATTCAAACGAGTGGTATCTGAGCTATTAATTTGTATACCAAGGATATTAATATATTATAATCCTTAATATTGAGTTAATAATGATTTTACATAAAGTTTATAATTCATACAATATTTAGTATTTAATATTTAGTATAGTACTTCTTAATATACTCAGCCACTCAGGCAAGTTTTATAAATAATAAAATTATAATAATATTATTTGCTACAATTTTTAAATCTGAAATTATCATCATATCTCCCAACTTCTGAACCTGTTACCA